CTACACACAAAAAAACTTAAATTACAATTTACAAGTCTAACTTCCCTCATTTTTTTAAATCTATTTGCTAGTCTGATCCCACTACAAATGAAAAACAAGGAGCCAGAGTTACGACAACTAAAACAGAGTGAAGAAGTTTGCACCACCTTTGTTACACCAGGAGGGTTGTGCTACCTGTTTACTTGCTTAAAATAGGAATAACAGTAACATGACAGAAATCAAAAAGCAGCCAGCATAAGTTCTCATCCATGTCACATTCATACCACTGTTCACAGGCCACTGTGTGAGAGCAAAGAAAACAGGAAAACTCACTTTTGTTTAGCCACATCCTAGATTATCATATTCATACAGGAATGGAAGACCCATTCATTGATCCTTCACCTGTATCGTATGCTCTCATATCTACCATTAGGCCACATTTAAATAGATTTTGATAGGTATGATTAAAAGGTCATCCCTCCTTCTTCAAAGTTGCAGCCTGGAAACCTTACCTAAAGCAGCTTGTAGTCTGTTCCGAGCAAGCTCCCATATAATTCCACTTCTCAAAATATATTTCTCCTTTTCAGGCTTCCCAGAAGGTTACCGGAAAAAGAAGACCCCATCTCTAAGCTCACCTTCAAGATCTCTTTTCTATACAAGCAGATCTGACACCACTCCACCCCCAAAAATAAGGGGCAAGAACTAAAGAGGGAGCTTTCTAACATCCCAAAGCCTAGCATATCAGCCTCACTTCATTAAATTCCCCCACCTCAACTTGAAGATCACTCTAACTGCTCTCCTCCTCTCTTACTTAGTGCAAACACCTCAGCTAACAGCAAGAGCACYGCCCRATCTGGCTCTCAAATGAGAACATCSCTCCCCTGCAGCTGCTCCAGATAACCCTTATCAGGACCCCACTTCACACTTATCAGGGCACAGCCAATAAACTGATGCTTCTAATTACCCTTTCCCAATTAGCCAGAGGTGGCTCCTTTAGCAGGTGGATCTCCAGTAGCGGCATGTCCTACTCCTGAAGTGATTACTACACAAATAGAATAGTCTCTTTTTTTTTTTTTTTTTTTTT